AAACCCCAAACCCTAAACCCCATGGACCCTTTTGGTTATCTTTCCCCCTACCTTTTCCCCCCCCCCGGTGCCTTCCGCAAGGCGGAGCTCTGGGCCTGTCAGGACGCCGAAGATCAACAGTGCTTAGACGGCTTAGGGGTTTTGGGGTCTTTAGGGATTAAGGGGGTTTAGGGTTTAGGGCTTAAGGGTTTTAGGGTATTTAGGGTTTAGGGGGTTTAGGGTATGTAGGGTTTAGCTGCTTTAGGATTTAGGCTTTAAGGGTTTAAGGGGTTTTAAGGGTTTTAGGGTATGTAGGGTTCAGGGGGTTTAGGTTTTAGGGTTTACAGGGCTTAGGGGTTTTAGGGTATTTCGGGCTTGGGGGGTTTTTAGGGGTTTTAAGGGTTTAGGGGTTTTAGAGTTTTAATGGTTTTAGGGGTGTTAGCGGTTTTAGGGAGTGGGGTTTAGGGCTTGAGGGTTTTAGGGTCCTTGAAGGGATGCATAAGGGTGGTTTCGAAGGTTGAGGGGTTTACTTGGAGGGCCGGGGGACCCAGTAAGTAGCTGCGTTTATAGAGTTGTAAGTACCATCATCCCAATTGGGATCCCACTTAGTGTACTGACAAGTCTAGTTAGTGATTACCTACTTACTAAGTCCCCCGACCCCGAGGAGGGTTAGGGCTCAGGGTCTCAGGGTTTAGACGGTTTCGAGCTTATAGGGTGTAGGGTTTAGGGCTTACAGGATTTAGGGTTTAGGGCGTGAGGCTTATGGGGTATAGTATAGGGTGATAGGAGACCTGGCCCGTCTAAGGGTGCCCACGAGCAATAAATCCTGCATTACCTTAAGGACCCTTAACTACGGGAATTCTGGCAGATTCCTTATTGTGGATAATGCAGGATTTATATCATAATAGGTACGTGGATTGGGTAATTGAGAATTTATAGTATTCCAGAACGTTAAAGTGCCCTTCGACAATCGTGCGTCTGATTTGAAACCCCAAACCCTAATTAAACCCCAAAACCCTAAAGCCCTAAAGCCATAAACTCCAAACCCTAAACCCTGAACCCCAAGCCCTAAACCCTAAACCGTAAACTCCAAACCCTACTACACCCTAAACCCCAAGCCCTAAACCCTAAACCCTAAACTCCAAACCCTAAACACTAAACCCCAAGCCCTAAACCCTAAACCCTAAACTTTAAGGCTTTTGTGGCTTACGAAAGCCCCCATGGCCCCAACCCTAATGGAGAGGCCTTAATAATTAGAATTTGTTCTGGGGGGTTCCTCATTATAACTATAAAATCATAGTATACTATACCCCAAAGCCCTATTCTAATGATGAAGGCCCCTATGTTAAGCCCGTAAACCCCTCAGTGAAACCCTTCCCGAACCGTCGTACGGCTTCTCCTCGAAGCATCCACATGGCAGTTTGGGAAATCCTCTCCCATAAACCCCTTGTAAACCCCTTGGGGTTATATGCGGGCGGTTTAGGGTTTATATATATATATAATATGTATATATCTATATATATATATATATACATATACATATATATATATATATATCCCGCATCTGAAGCCCTAAACCCTAAACCCAAAGCGAAAGCCACCTGTTGCATGGATCTCGCTTGCGCCTCCCAATCCTGGGAGATGGAGCTTCAGGGTTTGTGTCAAGGGTTTAGGGTTTAGGGTGTTCGGTTTAGGGTGTTAGGTTTTGGGGTTTAGGGTTTAGGGCTTAGTTAGGGTTACGGGTTGAGAGTTTAAGGCTGTGAATTGAAAGTGGGGTTTAGGGTTAGTTAGTGCAGTTCAGGAGGTAGGGGAGTCTTGTATGAGCTCGAAAAGCCAGCTTTGTGTCCAGAGGACGTTATAAACCCCTAAGGGTCCAAGTACCTAATAATCATATACTCTCCCAAATATTAACCTAAATAACTACTATCCACAACCAAAGTATCTGATTATTGGGTCCTTTGGACCCTTAGGGAACGTTCTGCAAGGCTTCTATTGAAGGTGTTGCGAAGGGTCGTCGGAAGGATCGTATCAGCTTTCGTAGGCTTGTTTAGCACGTGAGGTTTGAGGAACTGAAGGGTTCGTCGTAGTAGTAGTAGTAGTAGTAGTAGTAGTAGCATTAGTAGTAGTAGTAGTAGTAGTAGTAGTAGTAGTAGTTCTGGGAGGATCAGGTTCAGGCAACGGTTAGAAGTGAGGGTAGATGGTCATCATCTGAGAAGTATTGCTGTAGCAAAAAGCACAACCATCAGCGTGCTATGTGGCAAATCTTGAGTAACGAGGATACTAAAATGTCACCGCAGCTACCAGCAAGACTTCTGAACTGAGAAGCAGAGAGCAGTATTCATAGCAATGGTGGTGTTTAACAAGTTTTTCTGGACCCTAAACCCTAAACCTTAAACCCTAAACCAAAGGCACCGGTTCAGGGTCCCAGGGCACCTTCTTCTTTAGTCGGCCCGCTGAACTGCCGCTTTCGGCAGAACGTGCGTGCTGGGGTGCGGAGTCGGGCTTGGGGCTTACTAGACCCTGAGGGTCCATGTGCCCAAATTTTATAATGTACCTTTAGGCCTTTAAGGGTTCTATGAGGGTACCATAAGGGTTTAGGGTTTAAGGGTCCAGGAAACCAAATAGTATATACATTGGCCCCAAAGTACTTATATAGGGATACTCTAAGACCACAGTATATCTATTTGGGTACATGGACCCTTAGGGTACTAGTGGGGAGTTTAGGCACTTAAGGAGGGACCCTTAAAGGGACTCTTGGGGTTAGGGTCTGGTGGGGAGTTTAGGGTATATAGGGCTTCCAAAAGGCTTCCATAAGGTATATAGACCTTCTATAAGGCTCCTATAACGGTAACTACCTACCTGAAAATTCCTAGACTTGGTAACATCACCACTTCAGACAGCCACACTTAAGACGAATACCTGGATGCGATACCACACGTATGACAAAACCTGGCATACCTGGAATAGGGTCCTTAATAATTAAAATAGGGTTTTGGGGCCCATTCTGCTACAGTTATAGTAAGGAACCCTCAAAATAGTACGTAGGTAATTATTAAGGCCCCTCCTCTAGCCACACACTTGCAAAGTCTTATGCCTCCACCGAGCTTCTAGGCGATACCCTGATAAAAAAAAGAGCACTTGCTGGAACTCTAAAATCCATGAACGGAAGGAACCGTAAAAACCTCACCCCTAAGCCCTAAAACCCTATAACTCCTACAGTAAATCCTAAACCCTAAACCCTAAACCGTACCGGAACACGTGCAGGAACCCGAAAAGCAACCGCAAGCGACGGACCTCGTGTAGGAGAGCCAGCTTGTGCTCGAAGACCTGCAGCCACCATCATGTTGGGTTTAGGGTGCAGGGTTCAGGGTTTAGGGTTCAAAGGTCCAGGATTTAGGGTTTAGGGTTCTGGGTTTAGGGTTCAAAGGTCCAGGGTTTAGGAGTTTAAGGTTTACGTGGAAGAGCTCGTAGGCGATAGTATCTTGCGACAAGGCTGCGTCGAACCCGAAACCCTGAACCCTAAAACCAAAGCCATAAGCCCTAAACTCTAAACCCT